ACCACGCTGGACCTCAGCCACAATGCCCTCACCCAGCTCCACGACCGCTGGCTGGCCGCCCTCCCGCACCTTGAGGCCCTCCACATCAGCCACAACCAGATTAAGGACCTTTCTCCGCGGGCTTTCCACAATGCCTCCTACCTGCGGCACCTCGACATGTCCTCCAACCACCTGCACGCCGTCGAGACACACTACTTCGATGAGCTGGTGAGCTTGGAGGAGCTGCTGCTCTACAACAACCGCATTACACGAGTGGATGAAAATGCCTTCGCCAAGCTGAGCGGCCTGCGGAAAGTCTACCTGAGCTGGAACAACCTGACCACCTTCCCCTTCCGCTCGGTCCAAGGGCTGGGCAACTACAGCCTCCGCACGCTGGACCTCTCCTCCAACAGCCTGAGCAGCATCCCTGTGGAGGAGCTGGCGGCTCTGCCCGAAAACATCAGGAACGGCTTGTATCTGCACAACAACCCCATCAGGTGCAGCTGCCCGCTCTACCTGATGCTCCAGCGCTGGAAGCAGCGAGGTTTCAGCTCCGTGAAGGATTTCTTTGAGGAACACACCTGCAAGGTGTCCGACAACGTGCCCCGGTCCCTGATCAAGTTCCTCAAATACAGCCACATGTTCGAGAACTGCTCAGCAGGCCCCGAAGACATGCACCCCGTGCCCTTCCCTGTGATGGTGGGCCAGACCCTTCTGCTCGCCTGCAACACAAGCCTGTCGGCCCCGGCCACCACCTACATGTGGATCTCCCCTCACCACGAGCCCATCAAACACCCAGGGAACAGCAACCGCTCCTTGGAGGTCTACCGCAATGGCAGCCTGAAGATTGCGGTGGCCAAGCCTTGGCACTCGGGGGTCTATGTGGGCTTGGCCATCAACAGCCCCCACAATTTCAGCAGGCTGTGTGAAGTCAACGTGACGGTTCACTACCCCAAGCCAGATGGGGAGACCTTCAGCACCGGCCTCACGACCCTGCTAGGGTGCATCGTGAGCCTGCTGCTCGTGCTCATCTACTTGTACCTCACACCCTGCCGCTGCCTGAGCTGCTGCAAGAAGCCGGCTCCTCTCAGCCCTCCGCAGGAGTGCAGCGCCCAGTCCTCCATCCTCAGCACCACTCCTCCCGCCACCGACGGGCCAAACCGCAAGGTCAGCACCAACAAGCACGTGGTCTTCCTCGAGCCCGTCAGGGAGACGCAGAACGGCAAGATCCGTCTGGCTCTTGGCGAGGACTTCCCCGACCCCAAGCACCCCAAGGTCCTGCAGCTCAAGTCAGACTCGGAGTCCATCAGCTCTGTCTTTTCGGACACCCCCATCGTGTCGTAGCAGGGCAGAGCTGGGAGCAGAGCCGGGGCCTCCTGAGAGCTGTTCTCCTCCATTGCTGCTAAAAGCAGGATTATCGGGCACCCCCAATTCCCAGCTTGACCATGACCCACAAGGGTGATCGGCGTCACCCACAACCGTGTCAGCCATGAGCTCCTGGTGAGTTTTGGGCACATCGGTGCCTGGTAAGAGCTCCTTGCGTAAGCCACTGGCAACAGCCTCGTTAGCACAAGGGTAATGCTGATGAACCCAGCACGCCTCAGAGAAGTCCATTTAATTTGGGCAGCCAAACTCCCTAACGGTGACACCGGGGCTGGTGGTCTGGGCGCAACCCAGTGTCACCACCACAGCAGACCCCCAGGCCAAGGAACAGCCATGACGAGTGGGGCACTGTCCGTGTTCATGCCAGGGCCCCCAGGGACGGTGGCGCCATCGTTCTCTCCCAGCCTGTGCCGGTCCCCATCAGCATGCCATAGCTGGGAGCAGGGGGAGTGTGACTCCATCGCAACGGGGGGGGGGCACACCCTCCCCAAATGTGGCCAAGCAAG